TTCTACTCCATAACATGGGGTTACATAAAAATACAGTACTTACCTTTAAAAGCTGTGTGAGAACTCTATCACCCATGTAAAGCAAGCACTGAACAAACATTCGCCTTATTTTTAACATTACCACCACATTCTGGGTTATCCTATTCCCGGGCTCAATGGAACTAAAAAAAAAAAACGGAAAGGCACCCTCTCCACTTTCCTATGACTTCACCTAGCAATGTGCTATCTGACCTCAGGGACCCCTCTCCATGCCACGCCTGCACTCGACACTGTCTGTATAGAATACAATTCACTGGCTGAGTTCCTACCGTGTGTTGGCACGGAACAAGACATGACATGTAGTACCTCATCTATGACTGACTCTAAAGGTCTTGCTCTCTGCCACTAAGGGACTCACCTCAAAGGATACAGAATTACAAGAAGCTCTTGGCAAGCCCAGCCTCCCACCCCAGGAACTTGTCATTCACTTCAACAGCCCCACCCACACTCAGCAAATCAGTACTGAACATGTCAATGATGATATCCCTGAAAACTGGGCTTCAGGTTCAGGATTTACTAATAACCTTTTCTCTTTTTACTGTACTATCCAGTGAGCATAATTTTCTTATAAATCCAATTCAAATACTGCATTTTATTTGTATACCGTTTCAGATTCTCAGGAGTTTCCAGCTTGCTACCTGAATTTAGAATGGGACTTGGGGGGTCCTGCACCTACCTAATCTGTATCAGGAGCAAAGACAATCTCTCCCGTCTCTCTGAAGCCAGATCTAGAAAAAAATCAAAGTGCTGCCCTGGGATCAAGGAACAGACAACCAGAAAGCCCCTAACCCTCTTAGCTAGGGACAGACAATTCTGGACCACTAAGAGACTAGAAGAGCTGCTCTAGACAGGAGGTGTACACTTCACCCTCACTGTCTCATTGGGGTGCAGTGTTTACAGGGTCATCTCTATGGGGACTGAAGGCTCTGAGTCATCCTTATAGGCAAATTAACTTTGTTGTGTGTTCCCTCCATCTTTTCCTCTTTTGCCCTTCCAGGAAAAATAAACCAAGGAAGGGATACAAACTGGATGACAGAAGTGGAAGAGAAAGAGAAGATCAGCAATAATTCCAGACTTGCTTGGGCATGTAGTAGATGAGTTCATAGGCTCACAGTATTTATGTAGTGCCCACATCCTTGAGAAACTGAAAGGAGGGAAAAGGTGGGATGGATTTGTCCCCTCAAAGGTGACAGTGATGGAAGATTCCTGAAGTCACACCAGTCTCAGCCACCAGCCTAACAGGAGGGTTCATCTTAGCTCTGCAGGCTTGCAGACTGTCTGGGAGGAAAAAAGTATAAAACACCCAATTCAGTTTTGTTGCCAGGAGGCTCTGGTGGCTAAGAACACGGACTACATCTTCCCAAGTGCCAACCCTCACACCCTCGTTGCATTTTCTCCAGGTAAACATCTTGGTTAATGACCGGCCTGCCCTGAATAAAGGAATTTAGTGTTCATAGTGAATAAAAGTTAAGGAAGTTAGTATCCATAATGAAAGAATATAAGCTCTAGTTAGAAAGGCCCCAACTGGCTCTGGGCATATCACCTCACCACTCTTGAGCCTGAGCTTCCTTATCTGGAAAAATAGGAAAAAATACCTACTTTCTCTCAATAGCAATCAAAATAAAACCCCAATCCTCAGTTGTTTGGGAGCCAGGGTGGAATGAGTCACAAAACACATTATCTGCAGGGAATGGAGACAGGGGTGAAGGCTGAGAGGGTCTCAAGACACGAGGAGCCTGGCCGGGGCTCAGTGGCTGACGTTAACCTATGAACCAGGTCACCGGTTCAATGCCGGGAGGGGCTGCCGGCTCCATCCCCGGTAGGGGGCGCGCAGGAGCAGCCATCAATGATTCCCTTTCATCATTGATGTTTCTACTTCTCTCTCCCTCCCTCTCTGAGATAAAAAAAACAACAAGACCTAGGTGGGGAAAAGGTTAAAAAAAAATGAAGCGAATAAGAAAAACGTAAGGGATGCAAACACTGACTTAACTCCGCGTTTTTCACACCTATCCTTCAGTACCCCGTAAGGTAGGGGACTACAGCCCCCATTTTGGAAATGACACCGAGGAAAAAATGACTTGTGACAACGATCAGATCCCCGGTGTTTACATGTGCCAGGCAACATACCAAGGCCTTTCAGGCCACCTCACTTAGTCCCCGAAACAAAAGCACCATGTTTTCCCTGTTTTTACACAAGCAGCAGCAGGCTCAGAGAGGATTAAACGGCTTCCATGCGAAAGATCCAGCCCCCGAGACCCGACAGAGCCCTAAGCCCAGGCGCACACCCTGCCTGCCTTTCGGGGTGAGCCATCTCGGTGTCCCCCAAGTCTGTCTTTTACATTTCTGGTCACTCTTGCAAACAACACTTTCCCTTCCGTGTTATACCCCCGAGCTAGGGATGGCAAACCCCAGATTGTTTTTTTTTCCCCTTTAAATATCTTCTTGACATGCTCGCTTTATAAATTAACCTCCCATTCAAGGCTTGTTGGCCCTAATGGAACAATCAACATCCATCTTTGTCGAAAAGACTCCCGCGGCCAGCGAGGGCACAGGGGCTCAGCCGGCCTGGGTTCCAATCCCGTCGCCTCCTCTCCCCGACCGTGTGACCTTGGCCGGGTCCCCCGCCTCCCCCAGGAAGTGAGGATTTCAGGGCTCCCCGTCCACTTGGGGGAAGCTGGGAAGAGACAACGAGAGGAAAGCCCTCCGCGAAGTGGCTGCTGCGGAAAACAGGACCTCGGTCGATGTCACCCGCCATCTAGAGCTGCGCGGCTACCGCCGCTTCCCCCGCCGCGTCACATTTTCTCTTCCTCGCCCCATTGCGGCGCTAGGGTTTGCACCTGGGCCTGGCTGGGCTCGCAGCCCCCGCCGGGGCCTAGGAGGAGCAGGGAGAAGCACGGAGCGCCAGGCCGCAAATGGGGCCGGAGGCGGGCCCTGGCACCAGAGAAACTCTGTTGCGGCTGCGGGAGTCCCACGACCCCGAGGGCCCGGCTCTACCTTTCTGAGCCTCTCCATCAGAACGCTCTTGTTGCCGCTCGAGTCCAGGTTCCGTTTCTTCAGCTCCGCCCGCAGATCGATCACCCGCAGGTCGCTGAGGCGCCGCGTCCCGGTCTCAGACGAGGCGGAGCTCAGAGCCGCAGCTCCCGCCGCACCCGAATCGCCTAGGCCTGAGAGAGTCTCCGCCATTCCAGGGACCCGGGCTCTGCCACCCACTTCACACAGAACCGGGCCGGGGTTCTCTCAGCTCCTAGCACAAAATGGCGCCGCCTGCCAGAGAACTGCTCCAGCGCCCCGGCTCGCCTCGCTTCTGCGCAGGCGCACCTGGCGCAGGCCCGGTACTCGGTAGCGTCTGCAAATGCGTGGTGAGAGCCTTGGGGGATGTGCGCAGGCGCTTTGCGTCTCTCCAGCCTCCCGCTGCGAAAGGCCGGGACGCATGCGTGTTGTCTATACGGCGCCTGCGCGTAGTGTCTGGGAACGCGCGGTTGGTCGGCGCACTAGCCCGTGGCTGCTAAGAACGCCTGCACAGCCGGAAAGCGGGGCGGGAGGAAGTGATTGCGTTTTCCTCTTAGGCGGCGCCATTTTGTGCTCAGAGCCGCTACAGCCGCTGGCGGTGTGGGGAGTAGGTGCCGGAGACGGGGAACTCGGGATGGCGGAGACCCTGGCAGGCTCTGGCGACTCGGGTTCTGGCACGGCCGCGGTTGGTCCGGGCGCCTCGG